AAGAGCCTGTCGGGAGGAAATTATGGCATTTGCAGGTAAATGGACGGAACTAGAGAATATCATACTAAGTGAAATAAGCCAATCTCAAAAAACCAAAAGCCAAATGTTTTCTCTGATAAGCGGATACTGATCCATAGAGAGGTGGGGGGATAGGGAAGAATGAAGGAACTTTGGTTTGTACAGAGGGGTGGGGCTGTGGGGATTGGAAGGATGGTATAAAGAGACATTATTACCCTATACACATGTATGATTACATGTGACTCTGCACCATGTACAGCCAGAGGAATGAGAAGTTGTACTCCATGTATGTACAATGTGTCAAAATGCATCCTACCATCATGTATAACTAATTAGGATTAAAAAAAAAAAGAGCCTGTCTGCATCCACTTCCCAACCCCATCCCAAGGCAGTTATCAGACAAGCCAACAAAAAAGSCTAGTATGTTACTCTGCTTTGTTTCTCTGCCCATACTCCTCCTGGCAGGGCCTCTTCCTGCTCCAGATTAGCCAGCCTGTTTCTCAGGCTCTCTGGACAGGGGCCTTTGTGCTGAAATAAAATATCCACAAGATCTGATTATGCACATCTCACTGAGTCTTTCTGAAGGTCTTAAGAGTGTCACCACCCTATGGATGTGCAGAGAAGGGAGTATGATGATAAGAATGTTCATTCATATACCACTTTCATTCTCTGAACAACAATTCTGCACTAGGCTACTAAAATACAAGAGAGAATAAAGTCCTCACTCTCCAAAGAATACACATATCTGTTGGAAGACAGATATGTAAAAAGGCAATGATTGTACAATGCCTTGGCATTAGCAGAATATATGATTCCAGAGCCCTCAAAGGCAAGATTGAAGAGAATTTAATGAAGAGACTGTTTGGAAGGAAGTGCCCTCAGGGCTAGCAACAGTAGGAAGTTGGTACCCCGGCTAAGCTTGAAAGAGCAGTTAGTGGAGCCCAGCAAGAACTGGAGCTGTGACAGATGGCTGCCAGACACAAGCTGTGGGTTTAGATGAAGGAAGCCAGAGACTGTCCTGCAAGGAAGAAGCAGATGGAATAAATGTCCCAATATCTCTTCTACCCTCTGGTCTCCTGTTAACACCCCCATTGGTCAAACCCAACCAGAAACCCAAGGTCAAAGAGCTCTTTGGTATAGTCTACAGGGGTAAACTACCTGGGACACAGAGTTGGGAAGAAAATTGAAGAAGTTTTAGAGGAGCAAAAGAAAACAGGCTGCCCAGCCAGGAAGAGCATCCAAGAGTACCAGACTGGGGGAAGGAGAGGGTAAGTCTCTCAGTGGGTCTGGTGGCATGGAYGAAGTGTCTTCCAGGCAGAGGACTGCTGGGGTACAAAGACACTGGCATATGAGAGCCATGATATATTTGAGAAGCTACAGGAAATCTTCTGTGGTTATAATTAGAGGACAGAGCAAGGTCAAGATGAGATCTGAGTCTTGGAGAAGTGGGCTCTTTCATCATGAGGGTCTTGTGTGTGATGATGGGAGACTGAAAATCAAGAGGGAGGCAGAAGGTGACAAGAGGAAGTTGACTCAGTACAAAGGTGACTCAACTAGCATTGCAGGAAGCGAATTAGAGACAAATAAGGATACTTGTAACCATCCTTGGAAGTGACGACAGGGTCGTGAAGGAAACAGTAGTCTTGCAAATAGAGAAAAGAATTTGGGTTTGAAACATTAGGGAGTTGAAAGAAGTTAGTAATCCCTTGGTGTTGAAGGTGAAGGAAAAGGGGTGTTGTGTGAACTTCCCTTTCACCAAAAATGGAGATATCCAGCTGGTGTCTCCGTCTCAGCACTATCGACATTTGAATCGAGATGGTTTGTTGTTATAGAGGGCCATCCTATACATTGTAGGATGTTTTACATCCATTGTTTCTATCCACTCAATGTCAGGAGCGCCCCCACCCAACTCATGACAACCMAAAATGTCCCGAGACATTGCCAGGTGTCAACAAGAGGCAAAATGATCTAAGTTGATAGTTTTTGATTTTGGGGAAAAATGGTTCAGTTCTGGGCAGACTGAGTTTGAGGTACCTGTGAGACATTTGAGGGGGAGGATGTCAGGTAAGACTTAAGCTTGTGAATTTAAAACCCAACATCATAGTGTGGGCTGGTGACTCAACAGAGGAATTATGAGCATATAACATTTCTGAAATGACATCCACCACACCATAACTTCTCAAACTCCTCTCTTTGGTGAAATGCATCCAGCTATTTCTTTCTTGTTGATGTTTATGTCAAGCTATATAGAAGGGGGAAAAATAGCAGAATGGGAGCAGGAATCCAGCATCACTGGATTGAGCTCTTCTAAGCATGTGATTAAAAGATGGAGATCTGAGATCAGTGGATATCTGAGACCCATCCTGGCTCCTAACCCTCCTGTCTTTGTCTCAGGCCAAACCTTTCTTGCWTCTCCTCTTGGACATATTTTGTTGCAGTTTGAATGATCTGACATTCTTAGAGCATTTATAACCTTCTGTAATGTGGTATAAATCTTTTTCATAACATAATGCTGCATGATGAAGAARCTAGATCTTCTATGCTGAGAAGTTAGGAGAACTCATCACTTCTTAATTCCATAAATCATAATAGGACAAAAGCCCCCAAGAAGAGTATAAAAGTGTTCACTGGCAAATATCCCCTCAAAGGGGGCAAGAGATACCTGTATAGGCTCATTTCTCCCAACTTGATGTTTCCTCATTATATAAGTTGGGACAGGAATAGAAATAGCATCTCATTAGGAAAATTGTGGGGATACATGAAGAGGGGCTCCTAGCATCTACAATAATACGTATAATAGCAGCAAGCTCAGACTGCAAACTTTTTTGAGTGCCTTGCACATGCCAACTGCTTTTATACACATTATTGATGAAGTAAAAATTTTAATTCAAGACAACAAAAACAGTATTTGTAAACATAATTATGCTCTAATGCAACATATTTAATGACTGACAAGCTTCCTAAAATCATCCTTCAAGGAAGAATCAGCCAGTTGTTCATCAGATGTGAGCATCTGTATCATCCCAAACCTATGTCCTCTACGGCGCCTCTTGAAATAAGTTGTGAGGGTTTAGATATGAGGTATCCCCCAATAGCCCATGTGTGAAACAATGCAAGGAAGTTAGAGAAATGATCAGGTTATGAGAATATTGACMTAATCAGTATGGTAACCCACTGRAATGGATTGACTGGGTGGTAACTGTAGGTAGGATGTAGCTGGGCGAGGTGGGACACTGGAGGCAGTCTTTAGGGGAGGCATTTTGTCCCTGGTGAGCTGAACTCTGCTTCCTGGTGCCGTATTCTGAGCTGCTTCCCTCCACCATACCCTTCCACCATGATATTCTCTTGCACCTGGTCCAGAGCAATGGAGTTGACAGTCTATGGATTGAGACCTCTGAAACCATGAGCCTCCAATTAACTTTTCCTCCTCTAAAATTGTCCTTGTCAAGTCTTTTGGTCACAGTAATGGAAAAACTGACTGAAACTTATGTRAATTAGACCATGCTGAAGGCAAACAGCTGCTTCTATATTATATGCATGATCAATGACAAATTCTACATGAATATAAGTCTGGCTATAAAAATTCAKTGAAGTTTATCTGTTCAAAAGAGTTTCAAGTTGTATTTGGGGTTTCCTTTCAAATAAATTTCAGCAGAGCAATGGGTTGCCAGTTTATGTTGTGGAACGTACATGTAGCATTGGTGATAGACAACAGTAAATAAAAGATACATTATAAGCATGAAAATACAGAATTTAATCCTATAATAAATATTTCCTACAAACAAACTAGATTTTTTTTAAAGTTACTGGAAGCACTAAACCCTTATAAATATCAAGAAGAGCTGGGTGCAGTGGCACACACCTATAATGACAGTCTCATCAACTTTGCAAAACCCTGTCTCAAGATAAAAATAAAAAGGGCTGGGGATGAGGCTCAGTGGTYGAGTACTCCTGGGCCCAATTCCSCAGTTTTATACATACTCAAAAGTAGTTGTGAAGTAGGCCTGATTCCTTTTTTCTTTATCCTTCTTTCTTTCCTTCACCACCCTCTTGCTTAGGTGCTCCATTGTCATCGCTGGWCGCCATAAGAAAACACCACAGACTGAATGGCTTAAACTAAAGAAATTTATTTTTTTTCACAGCTCTGGAGGCTGAAAGACCAAAATCAAAATGTTGGCAGGGTTGGTTTCTCCTGAGGCTTCTCTCCTTGGATGGCGGATAGTGCCTTCTGGCTGTGTCCTTGGGTGACATTTCCCTATGTGTGAGTACATCCTTAAATATATCTTCTTCTTCTTTTACCAGTCATATGGGATGAAGACCCCATCCTTGTGATCTTATTTAAACTTAATCACCTCTTTAAAGACCCCAAAAAAAACATCACTTTGGGGGTTAGGGATCCAACATGAACACAACAGGCACCTATGTTCTCTTTCTTTACTCTCCCTACCTGCCACTCTGTCCTTGTTCTCAGACAGGAATATCATAAACCCAGTTCCATTGTTTGTAAACAGGTAAGCATTTGTTGGAAGTTGAAGTTGGGCACGAAGCCTCAGGCAACATGGAACTTCAGTCCCCACTGACAGGCAAAGTCACAGAGCTCAGGACAGAACCAGAGTCAGCATCCTCAGGGTAGATCAGAAAGGAAGCAGTCGGCCATCATGATGAGAAATGATTAAATCCAGTGTTAGAAAAGTAAGATTTTTTTCCTTCTTCTGTCATCCATTTAACCCTATCTTTATTCAACAATATCAAAGGCTAATTGAACAGAAATGCCATTTTCTTGTTCCAAGGTCTCCTTTGCATACCTCTCTGATGGTTTATTTGGATAGGTGTTGGAGTGGAGTCTGGGCCTCCTTCCTAGGTAGGCACCTCCAAAACCCTAGAAGCCATTCCCAGTGGTCCGGCTTTGGGTAGAGATCTGGTATGGAGTGGAGAGTTTCCAGGGGGCCACAGCATGGCTCCRGTCAACTCAACATTCTCCATCAGAGGCTGGTGTCCACCAGCGGGCCAGGTTGTTGGACCACCTGCATCCTTCTGTTTATGGCATTAAGAACTTTCTTCCTAGGACCCAGCTGCATTTGTATGTTCTGAAGGTCCTCGTCRGAGCAAAGCATCAGAGCTTCTAGATCAATCTGCTCTCTCGTGAAAATGGGAAGGAACTCTCCCAGGTGGTGGGACTGCAAGAACACTTCTAGGGGAGTCGCATCCACTGCTTCTTCCTCCCACTCTACTTCATCCTCATCCCAAGGCAGCTCAGGTGACCCAAGGCCATTTTCACCCGCTTCTCCCTCTTCACCYGCCTCAGCTTCATCAGCCTCGGCTGCTCTTTGGAGCAAGTCACTGGGCATTTGAAATTCCGACTCCCTCTTGCTGTTTGAGATGTCTTCGGGGCTCCATACTCTGTTCTTTTGAAAAACAATATTCCCTAGACCTGGACGGTTGAGAATGGATTCATGTTGCTCATCATCGTCCTCCTCTGCTGGGAACTGGAGCTTCTCTTTGAAGCCCCCGGAAAATGAATCTTCGTCCTCTTCTCTGAACACTTCCATCACGTTCCTCTGCCCACTTCTACCCTCCTTCCCTRTGGGCTCTGCTGTGTCTTTGTTCTTCTTGAACTTCATCTTGAAGGTATCTTTAATGCCCTTAGACAAGGACCCAAATGTACTGGAAGCTGAAGCACTTGAGATGGATGACCTGGAGAAGGTACCCTTGGAAGAAGAAAGAGTCCCTGATTCCTCCTTGTTGTAGGTGCGGGCCATCTTATTTTGGTGTTTCTCCTGGAGCCTTTCACACTCTTTGATCTGCCTCTTGGCATTTTTCTGAGCCTGCTCCTTCAGCCTGGAGACCTTCTTGGGGTTCATGGTGTTCTGGGCAGTGGCAGCCTTATCCAGGAGAGCAACACATTCATTCTGATCCCKGCTGGCAGCAGCATCCAATGGAGACTGTAAGTCATTATCCAGGGCAAAGATGTTGGCACCAAAGTTGATCAGGAATGAGACACAGTGGGCATAGCCATTGGACGCTGCGTAATGTAGAGGAGTATTTCCCCAGATGTCACATTTATCGGGGTCCCCTCTAAAAGAGAAAATACGAAAGATGCAAGTGAAACATTTTTTTTTCTGGGAACATAAATTCCAAAAACAGAAATAAAAACAAAAATAACGAATAAAATGCAGGCTAGTGCAAGCCTGTTTATCCTGCCTTGATGTTGACATACTATAGCTGCTGTAAGTCTAGATATGTCATCTTGCAGCTAGACACCATATGGCAAGAAACAAACAAACAAAAAAAGCCATTCTCTGCCCTATCTCATTTTTAGAAGAAAATCTTTCCAAGAAACTCCCTAACAAGTCAACTTTCATATCTCATTGGCCAGAATTGGTTCCCATGCCTAGAAAGGGTAGTGCCATGTTTAACTTAGATCAATTAGAATTTTTCTCTCAAGCTAGGAATAGGATTATCCAAAAGCATACTGGTAAATGTTTAACCACTAGCTCATTTGAGGGGAAAATCATCAAAGCCCTGATGTATAGCATGTGCCAATTTCTGTTGTGTAAGAATATTCACAATGATAAATTTAAACCTCCCAATATAACATCCCTAGACAGAGTTTGGAAGAGATGTGCAGTAGCTTATCATTATTAATTATTTCTTCCACATAGAATCARTGGATCTGTATAATCTGTTTAAAAATATTTTTTTAAATCATTGATGGACCTGTATTTTATTTATGTATATCCAATGCTGAGAATTAAACCTAGTGCCTCCCATGTGCGAGGCAGGTGCTCTACCACTGAGCTACAACCCCAGCCCTGGACCTGTATAATTTTAAGAGCACTGATAATAGTAAAATGTGGCAAAATATATTACCTTTCTTTTAACATGATTTATTAAATTGTAGGCTTATATAATTTTATTTCAATAATTGTTGTGTTTAACCAAATCTGAAACTTCCTGAAAATTTAACAGCAACCTCTCAGGAGCTGGCAAGAGATGATCCCAGCACAATAATGTTGTGTTCCCTCAAGTCACAAGTGGAAACGAACAACCAAAGCAAACTGGGTCATCATCAGCAAGAAAGAAGAGAGGAGTAGATGTTGGGCARGTAGTCAGCAGTGTCTGCTATGACCAGTATTCATGTGAAATGYAGAACATCTCCATCTATTCTTGTTTCCTTCCAGTATTTTATGAGTGATAGTTCTACAAGAGGTCAAGGTGGGTTAGGGGCGCTATCATGGCACTGAGGCCACTTACCTACTGTCTGGCACAGAAACAGTGACATTGGTAGATGCTCACTGAAGATTGGTGAAATGACTGAACACCTACTGGAATCCTGCCCCAGGCTCCTAGTTCCCCTGTCGTAGGAGGCCTAGAGATATAAACATAGACCCTGTGGAAGGTCAGGAGAGTGAGTCTAAAAAGTTCTCCTTATATTTCTCATGAGAAATGGCAGAAATAGAAGAAAAGATCACACCAAATTAATTAATAATATTCGGTAATCCTTCTCCTTGGAGTAGTTTCTTGTGGTAGTCTGGGGACCAAACTAAGGAGTTCTTAGTTTGGTCCCCAGACTACCACAAGCAACAGCAGCAAGGGCTTTATCTGTGATTTTGTTTGAAAAGCAGAATTTTGGACCCCAGCCCACACTTACTGAATGAGAATCTAGAGTAGAGTTTAACATTACCCTCTGGTAATTCTCAGGCTCACTATGGGCTGGGAAGAGCTGCACTAGTGAATGCAGCCGAGTTAGTGTCCTGTCACTCCTTCCTGGGAGCCCTGGCTGCCCTATGCTTTTCAGTTTCTAAGCACTTTGGCTCTCATTGCCCAACACCACCATTGTCACAATCTCCCTCTTAGAGAAGGAGGGAGAGAATCTTAACTGCAGAAATAAAAGGAGACCCAGATGAATGAATAAAGAAAGTATTATACACATGTGCAGTGGAATACTCCTCAAAAAGAATGACATTACAGAATGACATTTGCTGGTAAATGCATGGAAGTAGGGAACATCACGCTAAGTGAAATAAACCAGACTCAGAAAGTCAAGGCTCGAAGGTTTTTTTCCCATATGCAGAAGCTAGACCAAAATAAGGAGGAAAAGAAAAGGCCAGGGGAGGGGTGTCCCATAAAAACAGAAGAGAGATCAGTGGAGTAGAGGAAGGAGACTGAGTGGGAGGGACGAAGGAAGGGAAAGGGAGGAAGGGTAGAATGAAATCGACCAAACCATTCCATGCACATGCATGAATATAGCACCTTGAATTTCACCTTTATGTATATCTATAATGTATTAATTTTTAAAATCTATAAATAAATAGAAGGAAAATCAGTAGACTAGAGAAAACGGAATAGGGGCAGGGAGAAGAAGAGAGAAAGGGGAAGTACTGGGGACTGAATTGGAGCAAATTATATTCCGTGCTTGACTGATTATGTCAAAATGAACCTCACAATCATCTATAACTATAATGCAGTAGTAAATTTAAAAA